ATCATCAAAAAGGGGGAGATTGTTAGAACACGGATTGGTTCTAAATATATCTCAATGTTTTGATGATAACATTAATGAAATTTTGTATAAGAAAATATATACTCTAATTTTGTTCAAGTGTTTTTGTTTCAGATATTAAATAAATATTCATCTGAAGACACAAAGAATTCCTCTAAATGTTATTTAAAGCAAAACTCTGAGCGTAGGAAGTGCAACTGCAGAAGACTCTGAAACGCCAGCAGAAGACTCTGAAGCGCAACTGCAGAAGACTCTGAAGCGCAAGCTGCAGAAGACTCTGAAGCGCCAGCAACACAGAAGACTTTGGAGCGCTACCTACAGAAGACTCTGAGCGTAGAGTATAAAGACTCAGAATATTCAGAAGACTCTGAGAACTAAACGCTACAAGTACAGAGGCTCTGAATCAAGTCAACTCTGATCATAATTCACGCTAAGCACTTTGCTGCAAAACTCTAATATAGTGACTCTGATAAGAAGAACAAGGAACAACATCAAAGGATCTGATGAAAGATTATTTTCATATATGTTCATTTGAAAAGAGACGTTGCTAAACCCAAGGTCTACCAACGGTACTATTTCTCATTCGTTCATGACACAGGAATTCAAGTAAAAAGGGAATGTCAAATCAAGACGAAAAGTATTTGTCCTTTATGTCTACATCCTACAGTACTTTCTTCTACACACTATTGAAAAAGTGGTGTATATAAAGAAGTTTTCATCAACACTTCAATTACAACATTTTGATACAAGATTTTGAAAAGAATTCAAAGAGACAATCAAAGAAAATATTCAAACAACTTTCATAAAACACTAAGTTTTATTTGTTCTTCATTTTGTGTAAAAATCACAGTTGTGATAATAGCTTTTTAGAAGCAACTTAAACACATTTATAATTTACTCTTGTAAAAGTTCCTTGAGAGACCAAGTTATGGTCAGGATTCTTGAGAAGACTAAGACAGTTGTCTTAGTGAAAATCACTGTTATCAAGTTTTGATTTAGTGGATTAAGTCCTTGTTTGAGAGAGGCGAAATCACCTTGGCCGGGTGGATTGGAGTAGTTTGAGTTCAAACAAACTAGGATAAAAATAACTTGTTATTTTCTATTGTCATAATTGTTTTTGAAAACCCCTTATTCAACCCCCCCCCCCCCCCTTTTTAAGTGTTTTCCTACCTTCAGTAGCATGAACCAAAAATAAAATATAACCCTAATGAATCAAAAGTACAACTACTATGTACTACTGCACTACTGTGTATGTCACACTACATCTCTTCTGCCTCCTCTAGCTCCACATAGATTTTGAAATGCATGTCCTCGACAACCAAGCGGTCAAGATACACTATGAAAGGCTCTTTCGCCTGGTTCCCTCTAAGCGGAACAAATGCAGCAGCACATGACATTTCCTCAGTGACCTACTTCGTCTTCCATCTACAGTCCTCTGATAACTTCGAATACAAGTAGATCAAACAAGCGTCTCCAGTTGTACTCATGGACCCGTTTGAACTCCTCAATGTACAGTAGGTAAACGATGTATAAGTGGCACTCTTGTCCACAAAAATTGTAGTGTCAACCAAATATAGCAGGTATACTCTCATAGCATACGTTTTATGGATCCCCACCTGCTTGTTATCGCCTCTAGCCTGTTGTGCTATAACGAGCTTATATGTATATATATTTTTGAGGAATTCAAACCTAGTATGGGCCCCTGGTTCTCTCCATCTCCGTCATGGTATCCACTAGGTCAACTACCAGATAGTCTGTCATCAATTCAAGTGCCTCATCTTTGATAATCCTCCCATGATCTATAAATTTTCCTCGTTGATCGGAAGAAGCAACAAACACGACACATCATCGAGTGTAATAGACATCTCACCTAGTGAGAGATGAAATGACGAGGTCTCAGGGTACCATCTCTCCGCAAATGCATTAAGCATCTCGTGGTCGACCATAATATAATCGTTCATGCATAAGTCCTTCATCCCAGATAGGGACAAAGTTGTCTGAAACCACTCCTCATTCAGTTGAGGCAAATCAGTAATCTTTCGTCTGTGGTTAATAAGTTTCAGTGGATCACGGTCCTTCAAAAAAATAAATCAATGCCAAAAACATGTAATATAATAATATACATAAATTAAAAATAATGAATCCAACTAATGTTACCCCTCCGTCCTAGATATGTCTGACAATATGGTTTAGGTATAGAGGCAGTAGTGAAAAGTCTACAGAGTCTCCTCCAAATGTCTGAGGTGACTCATCATCCTCAGCAGCCTCACCATCCGGAGGTGCACTGGCTCAGGAGCATCAATAGCTTGAGGTGGCACTGGCTCAAAAGCATCCGTCGGAGGTGGCACTCGTCTCTTTTCATTACTGCCTCTGACACCGGTGGCTCGGGTACCTCTGGCACCGGTGGCTCGGGTACCTCTGGTACCGGAATAGGGGAAACCTAATTTCTACGGGAGGATGGAGGAAGTGATGTGTCAGTAGGTGAAACTCGTCTCTTACAGGAAGAAGAAGATGGAGAAGCATGAGTCCTAGAAGTAGATGTCTTCTCATGAGGAGATGATGGAGGTGGCACAGGAGCCTCTGAAACCTGACTCTTCTCCCACCATTTTGATTCATGTTGTGTAATCCTCCTGTGCCTCGGTCTATCTTGTCTATCAGCCATAATGTCTTTGAGTAAAAGTAAACCAGACAATTAGTGCAAGCAAGCAACACTACAAGGAAGAAAAGAAAAAACTAAAACAAATTGCTAAATTTCAGAGATGCATATTTAGTTACTGAGAAACTTAAACGTTAAAATATTTTAGGGATGCATCTTCCGAATTTTCTACAACACCTCATGTGCGTCAATGGCGGCAATGCAGACATGCAAACACAAAAAATAATATTTTGATCATCATTTTCAATCAATAAACATGTTTTACACTATCTAAACTATCATTCATGAAATTTATACCCATTTCTTACCTTAATCATCAATTTCTACTCATTTACATAAAAACTCAAAAACTTTTTAAAACATCAAAAAACTTACAAATTTAGAGTTTACCTCACACTTTATTTATGTCTCTAATGCACTTGCTTTTGATTGAAGAATCTCTAAGCTTGATTGTTTGATTTGGGAGTTGGTTGAGGGAAAATACTTTGAGAGAGTATGAGCAAATGTTGAGTGTTAAATTGTTGTTATTGAGTGTAAATAATAAGCACTCAATGACTTTATTCGTTTTTTTTCCATTAATAATCCCCAGTTTTTGTGTACTTTTTGTATAATTTACATACCGTTGTATATTTTTCATTTTCGTGTATATTTCATTGAGTTTTGATACTTTTTCATCTGTTGTTGTAGGTAATAATGCATGGTTGAGTTATGGACCAATTTGAGCCAAGATGAATGCTTCAAGATGCAAAAATTTGGGAAAAAATGTTGTCATTCGCGCTTAGCGCGAATTTTAGCGCTCTGGGAGCTTCATTGGCAGAGGCTGGAACTTTCTTTTTTCAGAGCGCGCCTAGCGGGAGCATGATGGGCTTAGCGCGGTTTATGTCGTTTTGATAGGTGCTTTAAGTGAGATCGCGCTTAGCGCAATCTGAGGGCACTTAGCACGGTTGTATTTTTGAATTTTGTATAAATACCCCTCATTCAAATTTTTAGGGCATCGTTTTGCGGATTTTTTGCTCTCAACTCTACCAACACTATTCTTTATGGAAATAAGCTCAAAAACAACATCTGAAGGATGCATCTTGACGATCCGGAGTCGAATCCACTTCAATCAAAGTTGACAAACTGTAAGATTTGTGTTCTTTTTTCTTTCTCTCTCTATATATATTTTTCATTTGTTGGGGTTGTTGTATGTAGTTTTACTTTGATTGTATATGTATTTATGGATCTTTGTATAAAATCTCTTTTACAACTTTTAATCGATGTCATCGTTACTTTACTATCTATCTTAATGGGTTTGAATCGTTATAGACATATAATTTTTGAACTCGACCTAAGATGTGCGTCTATTGGTTGTGGTAAGCGGTCTAATATTCACACGTGTGTGTCAGATCTTAATGCTCCGTGTTGTTTAGTTGCGTGAAACATCACCTCCGAGAGAATGCGGTCGATCTCTCAACGTTTGTGTTAGATATAACCTCTTGTTGTGAGTGATACGTGGGAATTTTGACGAGTGATTTAGGTTGCGTGCATTTGATCAATAGATTTTTTAGTATATGGGATAAAATGAAATACAACTCCTGACGAATTATTTCCCGCACTTTATTTACTTATTATATGTTTTTCTTTTTGCATTTTTATCTCAAACTATTTAAACCAAGTTTAGAACATAGAGATTGTCGAATGACATTATTTCTCTCGCACCGGTTCCTATAGAGACGATATAAATCCTGAAAAAAACTCTTCAAAATCTTTTTGCTTCTTGCCGCTATGCTGCAGCTAGACCAATAAACTGTGTTTTTTTAAAAATTGAGAAAGGAAAAGAGTTATGACACAATTTAAGTTTCAGTACCTTTCAAAAATACATCTCCACAATACATTCGAAGATGAATCTCCTAAATATTTTAATGTTAATTTAAAATTGAGTGTGTCCAAAGATATATCTCAAAAATCTAAAAAACATTTTAGTATTTTCACATGATATCTTATAAACATACTGGATGCTTAAGAGCATTAAGGATGCAATTCTCCAGCTTACTAAATGATCTATTAAAAAGTGAATTGAACATAAATAATTGACTTTTTGGGCTCATTTATGGACATTAAATAAAACAAGGATAGTGAAATAATACATTGAAATATTCATACATAAGCAAAAATTCCAGGTACATTAGAAGTGATTGTTTTCTTTCCCCTTAAGACTTGAATTTGAACTTAAATTAATCACTCCTAGAAGAAGCAAAATATTAGATGGAAATGAGAATATCAATATGCTACAACAAGCCTCTTGTTTTGACGAGTAAGCAGTAAAAATCTCATTTCTGAGGATTTATAAGATGATTTCATCTTGCACACTGACATTAAGAATCTTGTGAGGAAGAACAATGCTGTTGATCACCACTACTTCATCTTCAACTGTCACAGCTTCACCTAGGATGGTTATGCCGAGCTTCGCATTGTAATCACCATCAGCCTGAACCAATCAAAATTGGAAATCAAATGCTGATTTTCCAAACATTTTATTCAAAAATTACTCTAAAATGTACTGAACTTGAACTTGCCTGAACGCGTGACCATCTTCCAAGCGACGACTTCCATCCAACAATAGAGTTTATGACAACAGCATTTTCCTGTCGAGAAGAAAAGCATATTCAGTTAATATATTAACGACTCGACAACATAGTGCATCTCAGGCATCCATCCACTTCCGTACCTTAATTTCAACATCGTCCAATATTATACAGCCGATTAACCTGACGCCAGCACCAACACGAACATTTGCTGAGATAGAAACATTTGGACCAATCTGTTCAAAACAGAAAACATACTCGTGTATTAAAGATGATAGATAGTACATTCGAAACGTTTGCAGATGGACGAATGGAATTTACCTTTGCAGATGGATGAACTTTTGCAGACGGATGAATATATACATCACCAACAATTTTAGCATTCTTTTTACCGTCTCCGTTGGCCAAAAGATGCGGGGAAGTATATCGAAATTGAGCAAGATACAACTCCGAGCATTTCAAAGACAGGCTATTCATGCAAAGAGTATACGGTAAGCAAAACCCAATCACGGTCCAATGTTAAAAGATTAAAGAAGTGTTTCAGATACTATATATGTAAACCCTACCCCGGAGTTTTAATTTGCTCCCAGAAATCATTCGTCTCGTACGTATACAACTTCTTCTTTCCAGCTAGAGGTGATAGTATATCTTGATCCAGTCTTACAAAATCTTTCGGAAGAGTCCTGAAGGAAAAAAAAAAAAGTTTACATTGAAGATATTGCAGTTTCAAAGAATTCAATCTCATGAATTTTGTTACAGAAATTAAAAATAGTAAGCGGCATTTATTCAACCTGGTCGCAGATTGGAGAGCTTCAAAGCTGGAAAGACGTCGGAGATTAGCTGTAGTACAGTTAACATATGAAACATCACGTGTTGAATTGTTTAAAATTCTAAATTAACTCTTTCACTATTGACATTTTTTTAACTGTGATAGAAAAAGACGAACCTCTTCCTTCTCGGTTCGTAGATACATCCTCGATGGCATTAAAAATATCAGGTGTGAAAATGTATACACCGCAATTTATCAAATCACTAACCTGCATATTGTAAATGGTTATTCTTCTTCTCTAGGTAGAGAAAGCGAAAGAAATAAAATATCGGATACAAATCAAACTCCAACATTGGATATTTATCTTTTTATTGAGAAGAAAATGATATAAGAACATGTAACGAGAAACGAAACAGATACTCACAAATGTCTCGGGTTTCTCAGTATAATGCAGCAATTCATGAGTGTCTGGATCAGCAACCAACTCGCCGAACTGGTTAGCAGATTCAGCTGAAACCTATACAAGGAGTGTGAAATAACACTTGTGAGATTGTTTTAAAGAACGTACAAAAATGGCTTATAACATCTCTAGAAGCTATTTTCAGCTTATTTCTATAAGCTCTTCTAGATAGCGTATGAAAACAACTTGTAGCTAGCTTGTATGAAAAGTTGAAAACAATATGACTTTATTTTATCTTTTGCTATAGAAATAACTTATACATAAGCACTTATATGCATAAGCGCTTATGCTATTTACGCAAAATGCACACAGATATACCAAGCGTTATTTACACACCAACCTTGATTACTAACATTGTCCCCATCCCACCGTACTTTATATGAGCCTCTGAAAAAATAAAAATGAAAATTTTCAGCAACGCCGTGTTTTTGGAACTACCGTTCGCGACTTAATAAAAAAAACTTACTTACCAAGCATGGATGGTAGTGGAAAACTGCAGCAAACATCACAATTTAGCAGAAATATATGTGACTGCAATCAAAATATAACCTATTGTTAGAACATAGACATATAAGCACTGGAAAGATAATCCACAAAATAATGCGACAGCGGTCATAAAAGCCGCGCTCCTAACTGGACTGTCTTCCATGATTATATCTCTGAAGTAGTAAAGGCCACCTGCTGAGCCATGTGGTTTATCTTCCCTCAAATATCTAGATTGATAACAGTGACGCACTATGGTCAGATCCAGAAATTTAACAAAACATGCGAACATAAACTTTTTGTATCATCATTGTTAAAGCTTCATAGTAATGATGCAGTTTTCACCTTACTGGCAATTTCAGCTCGTTTGAAATTGAAGAGACGTATAGAGCGAATTCTCGTTCCTCATGGAATCCAATTAGATATATTTGAGCTAAATTGGGTATCTGTACAAGACAACACAAGCAAATATAAGCACTAATGACATAAGCTCTCAAGAGTATAGCATATGAAAACAACTTATAGCTAATAAGAAACCGGTTTAACTTTGTTTTTAATTTCTTATCATAAAAATATATTATACATAAACTCTTATATCATAATCACTATTAATATAAGCGGTTAATTAAGTTGTATATCCAAACAAGGTCTAACTAACACATTCAAAGGCTCTAGAATCATACTTAACCCTATTTTATATCTACACATTAGATTATTCATTATCTCTATAGCACCGACACCTCCGAAAAAGGCGTGTTTCTGTCAGTGTTGGCGTCTGAAATGACACCGACACTTATGATCACGCTTACTTTATTCATTTTTTTTCTTCAAATTATTACTAGTGTGGTGTCGATATATCAACGTCAGTGTGTTTCTGGTATTCGAGCTTCAAATTTCATTGTAAGGATGCAAGTCAAGATTGAAATTGAAAGACCCTTTTAGTTTTCTCTATGTAATGAAGAACACTATGAATGAAAATTGAAGAGAGAGAGAGAAAAAGAAGCAAACCCTTTTACAAGCAGAAATAGGATGATGAACCATAGGTTGTCCAGCCAAAGGGAAAAGGGGTTTTGGAGTATTGAAAGAAAGAGGTCGAAATCTAGTTCCTGCAAAAACAACAATTCAACAAAAAAGCTGAAACCCAAAATCTCAAATGAGAAAAAGACTTAAAATTTGATCAGAAAACAAGCAAAGAAACCAAATACCTTTGGTGGGTCCACCCACCATAATCACAGCAACAACCTTCTCTGAACTATCCATCAAAAAACAAAGCTCGGATCTTTAAACTCAAAACTCAAACTTTACAACAATGCTTAATTGAATTGAATTGAATTGAATTACAGTGTTTAAGATTCAACAAGGTTGTTTTTGTGTGCTTTTTGTGTCGTTCTAACTTTAGATTCACGGTTACAGTGACAGAAGCGAGATGAGATTCCTAGTATATGCCGATAACATAAATCTAAGTTAGAATCCGATTAAGGTTAAGGAAACAAACGAGACTACGAGAGGAAACATAAAACAAAGTAAAGTTTTTTTTTTCACATGAAAATGAAAAATATGTTTTGTAAAGGAAATATTTTTTTTATTATTTTAACTTTTTTTTACAATAGATTTTAGAGTCAATATGGGCTAAAGTAAATTTTATGATAAAAGAATTTTAAGAGGCTCTTTTTCATATATTAATTTTTTTTGTTATTTTATTTATAAAAATATAAAACTCAAATAATTTTTGATTTTTTAGGACATTAAAATTTTTTGATATTCAATTAAAATTTCTCACATCCTAAAAAATACACATATTTTTCAAAAAACTACATATTTTAATGAACTTTTAAATGAATTTTAAAATATTTTTTAATTAAAAATACACAACTCTATAAATATTTTTTCTCCCATTAGACTTTATACTATCATTTTTTTTCCACTTCGTTGCTGATTTATCATCATGATTTATATTATATTATTTTTATTTATATTCTATATTAATTTTTTATATTATTACTGTTCATGTTACATTTTTTTATTTCTATTCATTTTATTATTTTACATTACATAAGTTTTTAAGAGTGTTCAGTTAACAACACTTTTATGATTAAAAAAAACATTGTTACAAATAAGAAAGAAAAAAACAGTATTTTTTTATAAAATATATATAGTTAATAAATAGTTAGAAACAAAATTTTTAAAAGAAAATTTACAATATTTAAAACAAAATCCCTATAAAGCTTTTTAAAAATCTATATCAAAAGCATTTTTGGTGATAAAAAACATATTGAAGTATTCACATCAACATTTTTATTTGTACAACGTGTTTTTAAAATCAACAAAAAAATTTTAAACACGTGTATTTTAAAAATAATACATGAAATTTAATTATGCTTTTGGAATGATATATGATAAATAGGCTAAAATTTTATGATAAAAATTAAAGTAAAGATCTACTTTAATTCCTAAAAAAATTCATAAAGCTTATAGTGAAGATGTATTTTAGTTATTGAAAAAATATAAAAGCAACTTTCAGTTATTGAGAAAAATAAACCATGAGAAATTAGTCACTCCTTTGTTTGACCGATGGAAAAAGAATATATAGAGAGGAAAAAAAAACAAAAGTGAACAGCCGAGAGAAAAAACTAAAAGCTAAAGCAATTATTGAATAATTTGATAAGAGATAATATATAAAAAGCTAAAGCAATTATTGAATAAAATAAAATAAAACAAAAGTGACAAAATATATAAAAAAAATAAGTTAAAATTAAATTAAAAAGACAAGTCATAAGTTATTCTCGTGATGATAATAGTGTATATTACTATCCTTCAATCTGAAATTATTATGGACCTTAGATATGAAGTCGAGTACTTTATTGTTGATTAAATATTATTTGTAACTGTATAATCATAAAGACATTTGATGGGTACTCCAAAAGTCATGTTGAAAAACATGAGTGATCTGGATGGAATTTGTCTGTCATGCGTAATAGAGTAAATGTCTAAGGGTCCAATAAAAGGGTAATTGCACGTAATAATATTATCACGAAAATATTTTGTCAGATCACATGACATTTTTGTGAATTGGGTCAGTGATGTGTTACTAGACATCGATCACTGTTTATTATATTAAATATCTGATTTAATATAATTACTAATGATGTCATGAGAACATACAGGATCACACACATAAGAATAGATTGATGAAAGACGGAATAAATGAGGACACGATGTATTTGAGAAAATTATGAAATACGGTAAAATAAAGTATACTTAAGTGGAATATAAAACATGGTATAATATAATAATAATAATAATAATAGTTATTATTACTAAATATAATAATAATATATTTATTACTACTATAATACTAGTTATTATAATAAAATAATATTATTATTAAGTGATGCACTTAAGTTGAGCCTTTTCAGTTTATTGTCCACACAAGTGGTTCTATAAATATAATTATTGTGTAGAAGCTTTTATAGTTGATGAAATTAGGTTTTTAAAACCTTGTTATAACCTACTTCTCTCTCTCTCTCTCTTCATTTATGGGTGCTAAATCTTGAGTGAGTAGAGAGGTTCCTTTAACCTCCAACAAGGTTGTTTTTACCTTGATGAATATTGTCGAATATATGATGATAGTACTATTTTTATATGGTAAGTTTTGATTTGCAATTGTGTGTATTAATATGTGGTTGTTGTGTTCTTGAGAATTGATGATATTTGAGGTTTTATGGCATGATTTTGGGTGATGAAATCATATAGAAAAATTGTGGTTGTGTCGATTTTATTTTGTTTGATCCATTGATGATGTTATAATGTGATTTTGAGAGTTTTTTAGTGGATTAATTTGGAACTGATATGAGGTTTGTAGGGTTAGAACTTTTTCTGCAGTCGTAACAGGGAAAAATATTTTTTAGAAAATCCTTCAGCTGCAACCGTTTGCACCCTGATTGCAATCGACTGCACTAGTGCAAATTTTGAAAAAAAAATCCTTCAGTGCAATAGTTTGTACCCTGACTGCAATCCATTGCACAATGCAAATTTTTAGAAGATGCTTCAATGGCAATCAATTGCACCCTGACTACAATCAATTGGATTGTACAATTTTGAGAAAAATCAATTTTCAAATTAGTTGACATATCCCGACGATTTTGGTCATAACTTTCATTCCGTAAGTTCAATTTAGATGTCATTTGAAGCAATGGAAAACTAATACGTTGAAATACACAGTAATAGTGAGAGTTAGGATGTTTAACTAGGATTGTGTGTGTGATATTGTTTACCTAGGATTATATTTGGATGGATTGTGGGATGGGTGAATAATAGAGATGTTGTATGTTGTTGAGAATTAGAGTGTGAAACTTGAGTAAATGACTTTTCATGAAAAATTTGGGTTTTGGGGATGTTTCAGAACTGATTTTCATAACACAGAATTGCAAAAAATTGCCATTGCCTCAGTGGTAACTAGTTACAGGTTTTGGTGTAACTGGTTACACTATCACATAAAAGCGTGAATTGGGCATTTTTAGGGGGGTGTGACGGTTACCAATTTGGTGTAACCTGATACACTGGGAAAGTCTTACTCACCGTTTTTAGTTATGATGTAACCGGTTATCTGTTTTGGTGTAACTAGTTACACCTGTTGTGTCAAAATTAAATAATTCATAACTTGAGTTTCGGGTGTCTGATTGAGGTGTCGTTCGAAGCGTTAGAAAGATGACACAATAAACTTTAATTTAAAAATAGTATTAGTACTTGAAATTGATTAAAAATGTGAGAAAATTGTGTTGTATGATATGTGGTTGGTATGTTGTGGTATGGTAATATGTATGAATGATATGTTGTTACCTGCTATGTTACTATAATGCTATTACTGAATGCATGTAGTATATTTATGGTGTGTGGTGGCCAGTATTGTTGTGGTACATTGGTTAAAGTGAATATCATTGTACATGTAGTTGTTGTTGTTGCATGTCATTTACGAATCATGCATCATGGTGTTTGGACGGTGGTTCGTTTTTTGTGAGTCTCAATCCTACGGTGGGGATTGGGCACGAGTAGTTGGTTCCAGGTGGGAATTGGTGAAGCATTACCTAAGGTGACGATAACGATTTTTGATGTGCTCTGATCCTATGATGTGGGTCGGGAGTGAGTGAACCTGAAAGTTCACAATTGGTATCACATGCATTGAGTCATGGAGTGAAGTCTCATTGCATTGCATACATGTTACATTATGGTATTTGGATTGTGTGGAGTGTGAGTTGCAGAATGGGTGATTATGTATGTGATAATTATGTGTTTACATATTATTATGCAGTTTCATTATATGATTGTGATATTTCACCTTTTTTGTTTGAATGTTGCCTTTTCAAGGGCATCGTACAGATAATCTCCAATAGAGGCGTAGAAGCGAGTGGATAAGATTACTCTCCTTTATACTTTTGTTGAGTCGGCATCTGCTCTAATAAGTAACAGTGGGGGGGTAAAGAACGCTTATTATGTTATTTTATGTTTGGTGGAGACTATTGTGTGAATCTCATGTGCTTGTTATTTTCTTATAATTACATTGTGTTATAATTATATTTGAAAAGTTAAACTAGCCAGTTGTCTAATGTTTTTTCGCTACTAATAAAATGTTGAAGTTCAGACTTGAATTATGATTCCTATATTTTTTAAATTTCGTATGTGTTACATACCATATTGTATGAGCTAGTTGAAGTTGAACGTAGCATCCTAATTGCTTAATTATTTTAATTTACTCTAATTTTTATTTATAAACTACGTCGGGGAAATTAGGGTGTTACATAGTGGTATTAGAGCAGGTCGGTCGGTTCGACCAAGTTATCGAGTCGGTGGAGTGTGGCAGTTGAATACTGTCGAGGTAGTTTGCTAACCATTGTTGTTGTTATTGTTATAAAACAGAAAATGGCTAGAAGAAACGGTGTTGCAACTGCTGCTGCTTTGCAGGTTGTGCATTATCAACCTAATGTTAGGGGAACAATGAGTTTCGTCATCTGGGGAAATTTCAGAGGAAAAATCCGCCTAATTTTAAAGGTAGGTATGATCCTGATAGAGCGCAAGCTTGGCTCAATGAAATTGAGAAAATCTTATGTGTGATTTGAAATTCTGGTATGCAAATCTCAAATGTCCTAAGAGATGCTAAGAACATTGATCTCTGCTAAAACAGAACAAGGACAAAACATGAGCAATTTAAATCCCTTTAAAAATTAACAGTGTCATGACATCTGTTGTAACATCTACAGACTGAC